CGGGGCCCCAGGGCCGCGGAGGCACCGCGGGGGCCCTGGGTCGCGGGGCTCCAAGATGGCGGCGAGGTCACGGGCGTGAAGGCAGCCGGCGGTGGGCGCTCCTGCGGCCCCTCCGTTCCTCCGGTGTCTCACGTCCCGTGGCCGCTCTGAGGGCGCCTGCGGACGGCCTCGTCGCCCCGCCCCGAAGTTGCTGCTCCCACCCCACCTCCTGTGTCTCACGCCCCATCTCTACCAGTCACCCCACTGAGGGGAGAGCGGACCGTGCGTGGGCCAGCGCGGGTCGAGGGGACGGGGCAGGCAGGACTGGCCGAGGGGTAGTGAATCGAGCCCCGGGTGCCTTGGGGTGAAGCCGTGGCGGGGCGGGTTTCCGTTGTGAGGCAGCCCAGGGCCCTGCGGAGGGAGCGAGACGGGAGGCGGGGTAGCAGGGTGGGTACCCCGCTGTCCCCAGGCGTCAGGGCTCAGCGGCAGCGCTGGCTCCGGCCTCCCCACAACGGTGCCGCCCCAAGGAAAGGGGGCGCGGCTGGTGTCTCGCTTTTGGGTTTTGCGTCGCTGTGAGGTTGCTCCGCGGGGCTCTCAGGTGTGATCTGCTGCGTGGCCCAGTCACCTAGAACCTTCTGCACCTCTGCTGCGGCCTCGCTCGCCGCGGCCCCCCCTCTCTGCGTCCCCCTCGCCGAGGCCCCCCTTGCCGCGGGCCCCCCTCGCCGCGGCCCCCCTTGCCGCGGCCCCCCTCGCTGGCTGCGGCTGACTATCTCTGGGTCAGACTTGCCTGCTAGTTTTGTCTTCTCTTTCCTGACGGCTGGCGTGACCCGACTCGGCTCTAACGGCGACCACCCCTTGTTTCTGTTTCTCCTTCTGTCACTGAGCACAGCCCCTCCCAGCTTCACCCATGTCGCTGGGAACGGCGGGGCCGTTGTCTTTTTGAAGGCCGAGTAATATTCTGCCGTGAGTAGCCCGGTCTCCTTGGCCCAGTCTCCTTTCCAGCACCAGGCTTGCTCCCGTCTCTTGTGTATTATGACTAGTCCTGCGATAAATGTAGGGTGCAGGCATCTTTCTGAATTAATGTGCCCTCTGGGGGCACCAAGGAGTGGGGTTGCTGGGCGCTGTTTAGTCCTCTGCGGGTCCTGCACACAGCGGTCCGCAGCAGCTGGCCAGTCTGTGCCCGCCAGCAGTGTGGGGCAGCAGCTCCCTTTCCTCCGCATCCTCGTGGGCGCCTGGTGCTGCCACTGGCCAGTACAGGACGCTCTCACAGGCGCCACTGGTGTCTCAGTGTGGGTGTGGTCAGCGTTTCCCTGAGTTCCAGATGCCTGTGGCCTCCTCCTCGGAGAAGGGTCATTTTAGCTCCTGGCAGAGTAGTTAAGGTCCTTAGTAATTGGTTGACTGCCCGGTGGGTCCAGTGTGGTCACAGGAGCCCTCAAGAGCAACGGAGGGCAGTGGGTTGGCCCAGGGAGGCAAAATTGGGGGCGCCGGGGGTGGGGCGGGGGTGGCACCGCTGGGGGGTGAGGGCCTGGAGGCTGCGGAACTGGCTCCCGGGCTGGGGCTTGGGCAGCTGGGTTGGCCGACGTGTTGCGACACGTTGAGGGGTCAGGGGACACGGGTGGGGTGACGAATCTGCCTTTGATCCGGGAAGTAGGACTCTGAAGGGACCCATTCTTGGGGGTTGGGGGGAGCCACGGACATAGTTCGGTCGCCCGACACCGGGACGCCCCTGTCTGGAGCTGTAGGGATGTGGGAGGCTGTGGGTGGGTGTGGGGGCGATTGGCGAGGGGGAGGGGCCGGGCAGCGCCCTGCAGAGGTGCGGCCATGTGCGAGTGAGACCTCATCCTCGAGGAAGGGACGTTCTCGCGACCTTACGTAGCAGGTTTGGAGAATTTTTCTGCTGCAGAGAAGATGACCTGATACGGGCTGAGCCAGTGACAGTGTCGCCGGGAGGCTGTGGGGAGATGGCAATCAGCGCCCGGACTTTCTCAGAGAACATTCCGTTCTGCTAAGCTGCTCTTGGGGTGACCACAGACAGCAGGCTGGGGCACCGGCCACAGCCCGCGTTCACTCATAGAGATTTAACTTTCATTCAGTTGTGCACACAGAGCAGGGTGCAGCAGAGGGCTGAGAGGACCCCTGGAGACAGAGCGGAGCACAGGCGGGTCCCCTGAGACGCACTGCTGAGGGGCCGCCGGGGTGGGGCCTGCCGCACCCCGGGCCCCTTGGCCAGCGCAGTTGCGCAGTGGCCAGCAGCGGCAGCACCCAGACGGTCGCCCTGTGCTGGGAGCCTGCGAGGGCCCTGAGAGGACTCCGAGGGCGGCAGTGGCCGCAGGGTAGCAAGCCCCTCGCAGAGCTTGGGGACGCAGCCGGCCACAGGCCGGGCGACGCTGCCCTCCCTGGGGGCTGCAGCAGGAGCAGAGCGGGAATGGGGCAGTGTGATCCTGGCCTCGGGCTGCGGCCAGCCGCCCCTCCCGCAGGCCGCCGGCGCCGCTCCCCACTCTGGGCGTCCTCTCCCCCACCTCTGGCCTGCACCCCGCTCTTGTGTGCGTAATAAACGGAGGAAATCTTTAAGACGCCCGAAGCGCCCAAACAGACGTTGCCTCAAAGAAGACACGCGACGATCAGATAAAGAAGCGCCACTGGGCGCTCAGAAAGCGCAGGAGCCCGCCCCCCTTGCCGAGACCGGTAGCCAAAGTAGGTCGAGGGGGGGCTGTGCGGAAGGGGGTGCGGCTGCGAACCCCACGGCTGGTCCGAGCCCTGGGCGCTCAGGGGTCAGGGGCTGGCCCCCGGCGGTGAGCCGGGGCGGCAGGTTTCGCGGCCGCACTGTCCGGCCGGGAAACAGCCCAGACGCCGCAGGGGACCTGGCCGAGGTCACCGCCCAGCCCTGGCACCCCGCCGAGGCCCCGGGCAGAGGGGGAGACTCCACAGTGGTGTGGGGACAAGCCCGCTGGAGCCCTGTTGCCCTGTCCGGCCTATGCGGGGTGGCG